TCCGTCCGCTTGGGTTCTAAATGTCAAAATTGACATTGTAAAATATTGCAGTCATCATTGTTTTGTTGTAATGTTAGTGTTTTTGGTTTCACTATACCGTTTACTTATTTTTGCTTGTTTGTAAATTTATTTACTTTTTTTTGTTTCCTTTGGCTTTTATCTTCGTCCAAGTGACGCTCAATATTGCTTTGTTAACAGTAATAACAGCTGTTAATGTCATTTATTATTTTATTATTATTATTATTTTTTTTTTTTGTTTTTGCTCTAGTTTATTTTTATTAGCTTGTTGGTAGAAGTCTACTGCATTTTGCCTTGGCTTTAGCTTTTGGTTGATTGTTGCCATACTGTTGCCTCGTTTAAGGGGTTAATAGTTGTCACTTTGGCTCATTGTCAAGTCAAACAAATTTATTTGTTAAGTGCAAAAGAACACGTTAAAGCATAAACAAGTATGTGTATTGATATAAAAATGCATAAATATTAGTTTTGCTCAAAGGTGGGAGTGCTGGCAACTGTTTGAAATGGAAAGCGTGGCATTTCAATGGGGAGAGTATTTTCAAAAGCATAAATCCCAGTCTCAAAAAATGTAGTTGAATAAAGAAGATTAAGGTTAAGGAATTACAGATATAAAAATCTAGACGAAAACTTCTTATGGTTTTTTCTTTCTGGTTAATACCAGACTCCAGTAAAATTATATATTTCTAATCTTGAAACTACTCTCGCAGTATTTCCGCCTAATAAAATTGAAATGTATTTGAAAGAAATTTCTAATGTTTAGCCCAAAGAATCATATATTATATTAACAAAGATGACCAAAAGAATTTCTAAACACACATATTTTAAATGGGATGTCCGCACAGTGGCTTACCAATATATCATTTTTCCGGAACAATAACTTTGTTGGCGAAATATAACTACCGTTGGAAAATAGCACAAACCCAAGCGGCAGAATTAAGAAATGAGAAAAATAGTATGTGTGCACAAACCTTTTCTTTCCTAAAAATATTAGATTACAGCTCTCGTTCGTTCTTCTGCGAAAAATCTTAAGAGAGGGTGTGAAGTGCCAATTATGCGCAAAATTGTTCGAACCGAAAGGCGGAAACATAAAATGGGAGGGACTAAACAAACCGTATAGGGTTTGAGCAAGTATAGCATACTATGTATGGAATAGAATATTTATGAAAGAATAATTCAAAGATTTTTTGTATTTATATCTCAACATTAGAGGCTTACTTAATCTGTAGCATAAGAGCGTTTCGCTGTATACAAGGGAGTTGAAGTGAACACCGGAATTCCATAAAAATAACGCATTTATTACAGATTAAGGCTTCATAAAAAGTTGCTATTTCAGATAACCGGTACTATCCTTGTATAATATCCGGAAATCGCTTCTCTGAAACTCTTTTAAAAGTGAGAGACAAGAGAGAAGAAGCTTACTTTTAGCAGAACCATGAAAAATCTGAAGGCTACGCCTCTTATTTCTTAAAAACTTGATATTTCAGGTATACTTGAACAACTTCCGTATAAGGTATCTTTGAAACTCTTTTCGAACAGAGAAATATGACTAATGCCTTAAAAATATGCCTCTTATTTTGATATCGTGAAGTTCCTCAACTTGCATGCGAGCGTTAAAAAAACACAAGATTTATGTATCGATTCAATTATATATATTTTAGATCTTCTCAACAAACTCTATATCGCTCGACTTGCCTACTTCTAACAGTGAGCTATATGAAAGTAGTTGAACCCATAAAACTACTACACATGAAAATCGATACCCAATTATCGACAATATCAATTGTTTTACTTAAATCACTAGTAACCAAAAAAATACACTTTCTTACATATATTGTATTTACATACAAATATTTTTATTACCAAAAGATCCACTCCCCTTACAACAATACGCAAATGCGCATACAAAACTCCTCACCGCTTCATTTCTTCTTCTCAACTTCGCCCGAAAATTATGACATGTACGCATTTCCCCATGACACATCAACTCCCAATGAGCCGGTAAGCAAATTCAGCTGCCTCATGCAAGGCGTCTTATGCACAAAGCTGCCGCCGCCGCCGTGGCCGCCACAACTAATGCCTGCACAAAAGACACAAATATTTGACTTCAACCGAAGAGTAGCCGCAGGACATCGAAGTAAGTAGCAAAGGCAGTAAGCAAAAGGATACACGCCGCACCAGCGCTCACCAATTTAAGGCGAAAGCAACACAAACAATAACAAAAAAGGCAAGCAACGCGCTAATGATAAGAAGCTGAATTGCAAAAGTGCACAAAGAAGCAAAGCAGAAGAAGCTGCTACTACCAACAAAGCACTAAGCGGCGACGCAGCACATTGTCGCCGGAGGCGTGTAGGCACATAAATTGCGGCAACAAGCGAAGCGTATCCTTTGAAATTGATGCGATCAGCGATCGCGCAGCAGCAATGCTGGCCGACTGACTGAGTGGCTGCTGGTTAGTAAGCGGCATAAGTTAGTTAGTTAGTAAGTAGTGTGAGGAGAGTGCCAAGTGATTGCATATGCGCACACTCTTTGCAGCGGGAAGAAGTGTGTAGCAATTGTGCGCCACAGCTGATGTGGCAGTTCTTGGGCACTTACTCGTATAAATGCTTTTTCATAATTTTTATATTTTTGTTGCCCGTTGCTTTTGTATTTCGATGCTTCATAAATGAACGGAAAGGCGTGTGCGCACGCATCATGTGGGCAACACCCCATTCATACGATCGAGCACTGAAATCATTGCCCTTTTGCAAGCGCTTCTCTCTACAAATACATATTTAACTGCATGCTCGTATAATTCGTATTTATTTTAATGATTCTTGGATATTTTTCGACGCTTAGAGTTTTTTCCCGCAAAGGATTAGCCATAAAAGATAAGAAAAATCGGTTTAAAGTCTTTTTGCAAATTCAAATTTGAAGTTTCTGAGCATCATAGTTGATCTAAGTATTTAGGTGGAAAATTGAAGAACAAAACTGTTTGATATTTCAGTTATCCGATATCGTCTGCATGGAGTGATAAAGTCTACGAACTGCGACTAAATTGAATCATAGTTAGTCCTCTGTTGAAAAAAGATGAGCGCTGACTAACATGTATCGCTTACCAGACGAGGTTTTACAGAGGGTGATTTCCTCGCAGGCTTTGGCGTAGTGCTATAAAATGTGCTATAAAAAAGGAAAAGCAGCTCTTGTTAAAAATATTTAAGTAGCATTTTCAGAAGGAAATATTTTTACTAATTTTTTACTATCAGTCATAGATTATGTGTTTGTTGACGAGTACAAAACTGAGAAACTGTAAAATAGTCGTTCTAGTTTCGCATTATTGAACAAAACAGTCTTTGGCAACACTATTTAAAACTTTTTTACCTGGAAATAGCTTCCTTTCGATATTACAATTTCATATAATTTATATAATGCATTATAAAATAAGTATTTTTTTACTAATTCCCGTACCTTAAAAGTTTTAGAAGCAAAAAGATAATTTATGTTGGCAACCCTTTTTATGAAATTGTATGTATTATTAGTGTTTATTATGATATGTTGCTTCATAAAATGTAATAAATCAATTTCTTTGTAAAAAACTAACAATAACATTTTTTATACATACTTGTAAAACAAAATTGTGGCAACCTTTTCCATTAAAAATTTAATTGATCGTTTTCAAAGCAAAATTCCTATAGGAACTATAATTCAAATTTTATCATGATATAAATTAAAGGTTAACTAGTTTAATAGGCTTTCGGTATACAAAAATAATTTGACAACTTTTTCTTAATTCTTACAAAAAAAAAGCAACAAAACACTAACTTTGATACAACCGAATTCGAATACAAAATTGCGATTGCAAAAAATGCACATTTTTTTAGATAGAAAAGGACGTGTGCAAAATTTCAAACCGATATCTCAATAACTGAGAGACTAGTTCGCGTACGGAACGATTAATTACGATCCGGACGATTAAATAGAGGGGTATGGCTAAACCGACGCAGCCCGCCAAGCTGTTTTATTTATACATATACTTTATAGAGTCTCCGACGTTACTTTCTGGGTATTAAAATTAACATTCCCTGTTCCGAGTATAAAAACCTGGCGACAGTGTTTTGTAACTAATGAAATTAGTCTTATTAGTCCTTGCCCTTCATTCGTGCTTTTATGTATTTTCATGTTTAGAATTCTACATCTCTTTATTTTCATATAAATTTTGATTATACACATATTTTCAATTAAATCCCAACATAGTTGCGTTTACAGCATATTTTCTTCTTCCTGCAGCTGTTTTGTGTCTCTTCACACCCTAAAATATATATATATACATCAATTGCACTTTATTATTTTTTAAATTCTAATATCTCGTGCTTTTTTTAACGATTTCTATTCTCTAATTTCAGCGCAACTGTTATCGTACGAAGGTAAGCACTATAAATATCCTTTGACACATCTTACAAAAAACATCTCCCCTTTTAATTCCTTAATAAGCACCTTATGCGCACACATAAATTTTAAGATTTTCAAAATTCCTGCTAATCATTTGTTTACTACTCAACGCTTATAAAGCAAAGGATACGCTTATCCTGCGCAACAAAGTGATCTCTCATAACATTTGGCTACTCGCCTATTTTCTATGAAATCGTATTAAATTACGTGTATCCCTCACAAGCGCTGACCACAGCGTCCTGTCAGCGGCAACAGCAGCCAACTGCTGCCGTAACATACCAAAATATTTATGGTTAAACCCATTTCATTGGCTTCAGCTGTTCATTAAGTTGCCATAAAATGTTTTTTTGCGTGTTTTTGGATTTTGCTTTTACTATCTCAGCAAAGAAAATCTCGTAGTTATGATCTAAGCATTTTTCCGCTGCGCAACGGCGCTTTGTACACACACATGCTACATAAAATGCGGCTATTAGCGCGACATATGCTCCTGCCGCGCTGCCGTACAGCAAGCAGTTGTTATCCCATATTTTATGTCCCACGAAAAGAATTTCAACAAAGTCTTTTAATGAGCAAAGCCATAAATTTTTATTTGCTGTCTCGATACAGCGCACCCACCAATTCTATTTTTATATATAATATATGTATGTGTGTATTTCACTTTAACGCATTTTCCTAAATCCTTCTATGTGTCTCTTGATCGCCTCTCTTCCACCTCGCGCTGCTAAATACTCAGCTGTATCCTGCGGTTTTCGTACACAATCGACACGCTCGCCACAAAACGTTTGTTGATCCTCATTTTCGCTTTGTAATGCAGACCACCTAGCCCTTAGCCGCTTATATGGAAATCGCTCACGCATTGTCTGTTATTTCTACCTTAGAATTTAGCCCGTTTAATCCTTGTTTTGTTGTCATCTGTTTGCACACAAATACTCGCAAATGGTCGCTTGAAGTCCTTTGTTGGGTAATAGTACTGATCGCATTGTCTGCTTAGCATATGCCTGTCTCTAAGTATATGTGAGATAATTCTGCGGCCTTTCGGTGACTTTGCTTTTGACTTTTTGTTAACAATATCCGGCCATTTCAGCCGTTGACATTTGTGTGAAATCGCGGATTAGTGCAAGTGATTGTTGATATTTCCTTTGATTGTTGATTTTGGACATAACATATACGCAGGAGTACGGAGAAAATTCAACCTTGACAGATTTTCTCACGGCAATAAAAGTTTGAAAAAACTGTCCATCGTCAACCGATTGTTGTTCTTTTTTCTAGCTTGTAGTTTAGCTAATCAGTTGCAGTTTAAAAAAATTATCGTAGTAGCCTTCCTCTCTACAAGGTTAAATCGTGGTAAATATTTTTTTCTGAGACAAGGTTAAGGACTGTTCCATCAGATGATGAACTTTGCTGTACATTATTCGAATAACAATCACTTTATTCTACAAACCAAATCATTATTACAAAGCCATCTATGAATAAGGTCTGAACCAGTTACAGGAATATAAACTTTCCAAAAAAGAAAGGTCTTCCCGTAATCTAAAAATTGTTGTTTATGTATTACAAAATATATAGTACCCTGAGGTACTAAAAGCTCATTTCGTCATGAACGCTCATAACACTAGCGATATAGTAGAACTACTTCTATAAATAGAAATTTTCTCGTAGGATATGAAAACGGTTCGAAATTCCTTAGCTGATAGATCTGTCAAGTAAAATCATTAACTCAACTGATCCAGCTAATGTTAGGCGGTTTTTATAGAAAGACTAATATTTATCAGGAAATATATGGCATAAAGCCATGTATTTATACCTCTCCTCAAGTGTGGAAGACTTGATTTGTAATATTTTTTTTTAGTTTCGTAAATTTGTCGGAAGAGTACTTTACCAGAATTAATCGTACAGCAAATAGGCTTTTCCCAATCGGTGTAAAGGTTTTCGAAAGCAATGCCTCAGCTGAGACAATTATCAAGAGCTGTCACCTCCTAATTCAGGGTCTAATCCCGTGTCTATTGCTTTCTTTGCAGCCAGAAGGTAAATTCGGCTGTATTCTAACGGAGCCTTTCCAATATCGGATCGCCTTGGGAAGTAATGGTGGCCTTACTGCGTGTCGAACTTTCTCTTTCCCCTCAATAGTTGTAGACTTGAAATTTAAATTTATGAGTTAACCGTCGTAAAAAACAGCATGCCAGGCAACACAATTTTTTTAAAAGAAAATTTCCGGATTTCAACACCCACTCAACCGGAGAACCCAACTAACGACTGATTAATTTATACTTGTATGATAAGCTTTTTTGTATCACAAATACACTCGGAATTTCGCTTGGTTTTAGAACAGTAGACCCGTTGTATATCTATAGAATTTTGCAGACCGGCATCGATCGTACTATCTGCAGCGTAATAGTCGTACACACAGTACATTCGTCACGGCGTTCATTATTATTAGTTCCAAATTAGTCTTTATAAAAGCTTTTATAAAGACTGGCTGCTAAGCACAACTTGCAGTATCTACCTCTTCCTTTTATACTCAACTCTTTTTCACTCTGTTTCACTCTTTTATAGTCAACTCTGAAAGCTTTACAAAAGTATTAAGGAATTATCTTGTCTAATAGGGTCTTTCAATTTTGCTCTCTTTTATCGCGTAAAGATCTGTACTCGAAGAATTATCTTGTCTAATAGACGCCTTCTGTCTGTCTCTCGTTCTTCTGTATTCTACAATAGTTAACACTAAAAGCTCTACAAAAGCTTAATAATTTATTCATAAAGATTTTCACATATCAATAACTTTATACAACCCGTTTCCTTGAATAAAAACAATTTATTTTATTTTTTTTTTTTAATTTTTGAAAAATTGATTACTCACCTTCGCAACTCAACCGCGGTATCCCTTGCTGGCATATATCCACCATATATTTAGGTGCAAACAAGCACATGTAGCTGTTTTAATTTCATTAATTTTTATTTGTAAGCAATTTATGATTATTTGTATATCGAATGCCAATCGCTGACTTTTAATAACTGCAATCAAATTTACGCTACCAGCCTACCTGTAATGACTGGGCAAAGCGGACAGTGATCCTTTGGCAATGCTTGCGCCTCCGACTGCCGGTGCGTTGAATTTTTTGTTGCTGGAAAAAGTTCGTGAATGTTTGCTGACAGCCAAAGGCGTTGTTGGTTTTACCTTTTGCCTTTACTTTACTTATGGACGTTGTTATTGTTGTTTTATTATATGATTCTGTTTGATTTTTTTTTTTTGTTTTAATTTCGAAACGCAACATTTCGACAATAATTTATTTGAGACTCATTGATGCGCTCGAAAAGATACACCAAAAACCACTATACCGGTCAGGGTACAACACTATGGACTTACAATTTTTTTGGTCAAAATATGGCATTCGTAATATACAACAACAGCAACCACAGCGCAATGAAATGTTTCAGGTTGATTTGTTGGTTGACTGCGTAGTTTTTGGTCCAAATCTTTTTAAGCTGGCCCAAAGGAGGAGCAGAAGCAGTGACGTGACGTTGCATGCAACATATAAAAATAAACGTGCATAAGACAGTATGGCAACGTAAGAGCAAAAAAAGGGCATGAAAATAAATTTATAACCACATTTTTGTGTATGCACGTCCATTTGATTTCTTCAGACTCATTTGTTTTTATTTAATTCATGCCAACCGTTTTTTGTTTCTTTTTACCTGGAAAAAAGGCGCATCTCACCGAACCGGCATGCAGTATTGAAAAAGTGCCCAACATACCCAAATAAATGTGCGTATATTTTTCTTCAACTGTAACTTCCAGCGCGTCTGCGTCCCTTACTCACCGTTGTAATTTATTTGATTTGAGGCACTTAATTGATCTGGTGTTGCTGATGTTGATTTTAATGTTACGACGAAAGTCAAAAATTGTATTTCATTGTACTTTTCGGTATCATTCGGTATTTCTCGTTGCTTCTCTTTGGCACTTTCTGCCACATTATTAAGTATAAGCAAATAGTTTATTATAGCTTTGTAACGGTGTTTAAGTTTTATATGCGATAGGTACGGCGATAAACTGGTAAGCAATGAGTATTAAGTACGTTTTTGGGAGATTACAAACACACTAATTGTGGTATTAAGCCATACAAATATCTACATACAGTTATATGTACAAGTATATATAGAAGTCTATATCCACTGCACTCTTAAATTTTGATTGGTTTATTGTACTTTGTAAAAGTTTAAGGCCAAAACAACATTGTAAACAAACTTAAGTCTTGCGCGGCATAAATCTTTCTTCCTTACCTTTTATTGTTGTTTTTTTTTTCGATCGCACGGAAATTCCGCATTTCTTGCCTTTCTTTTGATTGATGATATTATCATTTGATGTTTTATTTGACTTCTGTTTTATTGGTATTACGCTTTCCGTGTTGTTTTTGAGTTTTAGAAAATTTTATTACTTATCTTCACTTAGCGAGTAATAAATCTATAGAAGATATGCTCTCACAACTATAAAATTGAATCTACTTAAACGGAAGTGTTATTTCCGATTCGATAAAATAGTAGAAATGCTTAGTTTACTCTCTAAAAGCAAAAGTTCTACTAACAAAAAAGAAGTGGACCCAAATAAACGCTATGACTGACTAGATCCACAATTTGTTGTCTCATAAACTGGTAAACACTTTGTTCCCCTATAAAGCGCGATTTCGCTCATTAGAAAAATAGCAAGTTAGCTTTAACTAGGCTAACAATCGTCTACCAAGTCTTCGCTAATCAATCTTACCATATATAAAAGTATTATATAACCTATAAAGTTCTTTAAGTTCTATGGGGCTTTACAAAAAGTTGGGCCCATAAACTTTGTACACGAAACTGCTATTCAAAACGACATAACTGAACAAATTTTAAGAAACATTTTTAATTTTCGATTTCCAGAGCTACTTATTTTTACTCAAAAAATATCTTAAAGTCCACAAAAACTATAAAATTTGGGCATCAGTACTACAGAAAATGAAGTTTATTCTTAATATAACAGACCAAAATTGATTAATCCTTTGGTTCTATATACTTTTTAACAAAAGTTCTCGAAATTTTAATTTTAGAAACAAATTCTCGATCTAGCTAGTAGCAACACGCTTAAAATCCATTTTTTGTTCTGAAAGTACCTCAATTAGAAATACGTTCTGGCAGTAGACTAACCTCAATATACTTGTAGGGCATTAAAAAAAAGCTTAGACGTCCATTTGTGTCTAGAGTGAAACCTATAAGGGATTAATCGTATATATATAAAGGCAACATCATCGATCTTCTTCATCTTCTTGCTTAGCAAGACAGTCCTGGGTGCAGCATTGCTTCCGCAACTATCTTCCTCCAGATTCTCCGGTCCGCTACAAAGCGCCACCAGTTATGTATGCTCTTTGAGGCCATGGATCACTGCAACACCCATTTTTTCTTTGGTCTGCCCTTAATTTGCTTCCATATGGCTGTTTTTGGTAAGCTTTTCTAGATCCTTGATTTGGCATTCTTTCTACGTGCCCAGGTCAGCGTATTCGCTGGGCTTTTTATAATTTTATAACATTTTGTCCATTAATGAGTTGTTCAAGCTCAGAGTTGTATCTATTAGGATATGTGTCAACCTGGTTGGATCATATATTTTTCTCAGTATTTTCCTTCCTGAATCCACCCATCATCCAGACTTCACAACTGTGTATTAGGATCGGACGTAGGAGTGCATGGTACATACGTAGCTTCTAGCTTATCATTGTCAGGAGATTTAAAAGAGAAAAGATAGCGTCAAATATGAAATGTATTATGAAACTCTTTGAAATTAATTTCTTTAGTTTACTATTAGAATTTGTTAAAGAGCCTTCTGCATTACTTTCTGAAACAATTTAATATTTTCCTGTGGATCAACTAAAGTTATCAAAGTCCTGATTTTTTGGCAATTTTCAAAATAGTTGGTTGTTCTGATCTCGTAAACGCTTTGGCAAATATCACACCATAAATTTTTTAATATTTGTTCTTAAAATTATTTCATGGCATTTATTCTTAAAATTGTTTAATTTGTGCGTAGTGAGCTACCTAGTTTGTCTTAATATTTCTTGAGTTTTTTTTTTCAACCATAATCCCAGAGATGCTCAATTCCACAGTCGTGAATTAACTATGCGACTACTAGTTGATTTGTTGTGGAATCGGATTGAATTTTCATAATAATATAACTTTCATGGTAGGTACCACGAATACGGTACTCTGACTATGTTACGAAGATGATATCAACTTTTATGAAACACACGGAAAAATTTATAATTCCTTCGACACTCCTTACAATGTAACCCAAATCCCAGTAAGCATATAATATAAGTTTTGTTTCAGGATGGTGACTTTATAGTCCCGCTAACTTCCACATTACAGAGTGTTGAAAGCTAAGAAGTTAGACGGCATTTCAATACTAATGTCTTCAGGACAAGAAAGTGTTATTTCTTGTATAAACCTAACTGAAACCTTTCAAGCAACTGGCAATTATTCATTCATTGAAAAGCATTCAAAGCAATTCATACATACATATATATAGTACATTGAACCAGCATCGAATGCTCCGTCGAACTAATCCAATTCCCACCAGTAGCCAGCAAATGTCAATCAAAATTACCTGCATTTATACTGATACACATCTACCAATTATTAATCAAATTTCATGTTGCGACACAATGAATTAAACAATCTGGCCTATCGTCTGCCAATGGACGTACATAACCGATTTTTGCTACTTCAATACACTTAATCCAGTGGACAAAGAAACCAACCACAACAAATGACAATTTGCGCGCTCCAAATTAATTTGAAGACGATCCCTTTGAAGGGCTATAGAATGGAACGCGCTGAATGGGGGAAAAAAGTAGAGATGAAAATCGGGAATGTTCACAGCAGTGCATTTATGCGGGTTAATGCACACACACGCACTCACCCTCTCTTGGTCGCACCAAAGTCACCGCCAACGAATGTCAGTTCGCGTTGTTGTGGCTGTCAACTGTCAACGCCGCTAAGACACAAAAATGTCTAATCATGCGTTAGAGCATGGTTTCAGCAAAGCTGACATTGAAACTGAAGCATTTGAGGCATAGCAGCGAGTGGAGGACTCAAGGTGAAAGAAAAAACTGTCATTCAGAAATGGAGCGACAGTGTCAGCGCATTGCAGGAATTTTCAACGCGAATGTGGCACAAAAGGTGACGCGTACGGATCAAAAAACGAAAACAAAGCTAAATTAAAAAGGGAACATAAATGCGGCGTTGAAAAGAAATGACAAGGTAAGGCGAAGCAAAGCAAGTAAAGGAATTCGACGGCGGACGAGTGTGGTAACAAAAAAAAATCAAAAAGGAGAAGGATTTCTCGCTTCAGCAAACGCTTTTTGCCAGACCTTGTATTCAAATAATTGGAAGAAACACGAAGAATACACATTAGCAACAACAATCACAAGCAGCGAGTGGCAACAAAGCAAAGTGAATTCGAAAGCAAGCGGGTGTGCAGACAATTGCGGTCTGATCTTTACGTGTGAGCGAGTGTGTTGCGTGTGTTTGCATCATAATTGGATTGGTTATTTCTTGCAGAGGATCAATCTCAATACAAAAAACAAAGGCAACAAAAATGATTAGATGAAGCAAAGAAAATATAGCAGCAATTGAGCAAGGCAGAATGACAGTCAAAAAATTGAAAAACTAAAAAATATTAGGATATTAAGACACCGAACTAGGGGTTTTGATATGCGGCAGCGAATGTCGGCTAGGCAATTGCGTTACCCAAATCAAAATCTTGATCCTGCGTTGATTGTCGAAACCTTTCATGTGCTCGCTAACCGGGTAAAAAAAAAAAAAAACGAACGCAAAAAAACAGATAATCATCTACCGAACTGTCGAATGCTACTTAAAACCTCAATCGTTGGCTGGCTTTGAGAAATATTTTCAGTTGCGGCAGTTGTTCGTTTGTTAGTTTTAAGGCTTAAAATAATTTCATTACATGTATTCATATCTAAGTATGTGTAGATTTGAAATATACAAGCATACTACAGATATTTATTGCGTGTTCAGCTCAAGTAGAAAGGACTTAAGTTCAAGGAAAGGTGACTGGCGGGTTTCGAGCAAAGTATTTGTTAGTATCTGAGAAAGTCAGTATGAAATATAGCAATTCACATGCTGATATTTAGTAGAACAGCTTTGGAATTGCATACTTTCAAGACGGACGGTAAGTTCCCAAGTCTCTACTACCTGAGATTTTTGTGAAGTGTGCGGACTCCTCAAACAGTCTGAGAACTGCGTGCTTTCGAGATGGTTCCCGGTAAGTTCCCAAGTCTCTACTGCCGGTGGTATGTGTGTTGAGTGTGATCGTTTCATTTTGCTCCGATCGTTATTTGTTTTACCCAACTCAGCTAACACTGGTCATTGGCGGTGGATATAACTAAACATGGGTATGTTTTTTTGGTAGTTTCTATCTTAGCGTTTGACTTATTTTTTAGAATATTTTTGT